GCAGTGGTAGTGAGGACCACGACATTTTAAAAGGTTCTTCTGTTTCAGTTAAATTATGGCAATTTCTAAAAACCACAGTAACTAATATTCCAAAATGAAAATAATGGCTAGTATCCACCCCAAAAGGAAGCTTTTGACTCCCATTCTCCATCCTGCCCTCCTCATTTCCTCCTATCACGATCCTCAGCTGTAAGAGAATAGCAAGTTCTCTGGGTTCCCAATCAGGAGACCTCCTTCCTGGGGGTTTAGTCTGATTAACCTGCTCTGCTGTGGAAGATGCCCTTCCCATGTCTGTCTTCGTTAGGCTGCCCTCTCACTTACTAACTCTGCACTCCCTTAGTTGTCACTGTGGTGTCCCCCTAAGTCAACTTGCCTCCATTACTGCACCTCTAGCTGTTCTCCAAATTCCCCCTACAGTTTATTTTCCTCACTGACCCATGCTGCATCAAGCTCACTGTCAGCTCCAACGCTGTCCTCTCTGGATGACAGAATTACCCTTCCCTTCCAGTGCCATACAACACTGACTCTGAACAAAGCCGTTCATCTCTTGAGTTTCACATCATCTTGAGATGTGCTCACCTTTCCTCTGCTAAATACATCAAGTCATGAAGTAGCATCTCTATGAGGATAGGTATTTCCTTGTGCATGTCGGCGTTCATCCTACCCAGAGCACAATGTTCAGCATGTGCTGACAAATCTCTAAGATTTGCTCAAATGTATTCTGTAACCATCCTATATTCTTGAGAGAACTTAAAAGGAGGCATCTGAGACTATGAATATAGTTCGGTCCATAGAGCATTTGCCTAGCACCCAGAAAGGCCTGAGTGCATTACCTAGCACCACTGGGCAATGCAGGGGCATGCCTTCAGTCCTGACACTTAGTAAGTGGAGGCAAGTGGATCAGGAATTCAAGGTCACCCCAGACTCCATTGGAAGCTCAAGGTTAGCCTAAACTACAAAAGGCCCTGTATCAGAATTAAAAAAAAATAAGTGCACATCAGTATATTCTAGTGTAGTCACAAGATTCCTTTAGGAGCAAAGGCATGGTAAAAGGTAAGACTTAAAAGCAAATAAAGGAAATAATTGGGTACATCTTAAATGTAGAGTTACTTGCATTTAGCATGAATATAAATCTGAAAATCACATTGCTTTCATGATAGCTTTTTATTTATTTACTTATTTTTAATTTGTGTTGTGTGATGAAGAGAGAGGCACACATCACAGAGTGCATGTCAGAAAACAACTTGTAGGAGTCAGTTCAGCTTTCCACATGCGGGTCTGAGGGACTGAACTCAGGTCATCAAGCTTGACAGCAGACTCCTAAAGAGAGTTCTTGATGCAATCAAACGCTTCCTTAGATCAGATTAGTTATGTCCTTAACCTGAAGAGGGCACTGCTTCCTTTCACTAATAGTTTGCCTGAAGAAGTTAATCTATAAAAAGTTACATCACTGTTATACACCCAAAGAACACATACAAATCCCCCTGTATCTGGACGGTTGGAGTCAGACGTTTACACCAAAACTAAACTTTCTATGAATTTCAAAAGGCCAAATACAGAGATGCTTCTAGAAGCCATGTATGTTATCTGGCAGCTCCAGCCTGGATGAGCCTAAAATTCATTTCATCAGGACTCTACGGTGCTGAGAACTGGCCTCTATCTTTGACAGAAGACATGAAAGCAGAAATTAATGTTTAAATGAAGTCTTGAACATAATATTTTAAAGGGAATTAGGTCCCAGCACTTCTCAACTGACCACCCACAAAGGGATACATTGTAAGATTCTGAGCAGTGTTCCAGATCTGCACACAGGGCTGATTCTGTCCTTTTTATCCAGAGCTGTGCGAGTCTGCTATCCCCCGGCAGCGGAATACCAGACCCACCATTCCCTTCCCATAAGACCCACAGTCAAGAGGCAGAACCACCTACCTGTGTTGCAGAAATTGTGTTTCCTGGGGAACACTCAGGTGCAGTTGGGGCTTAATAAACAGTTTCTATTGCCTTCTCTGATAAGATAAATTGTGAGCTACTACAGTGAATAGCATAAAAACCTTTTAGAGAAACTTGTTCAAAGTGTTTTGTTCACCTTGTTTTCATGTAAGATTTGAGTTTCATGGACACTCAGCATGAGATTGTTGCCATCTAGCTGTCTTGATCAGTTCTGGTTTCTGTGCCAGTCAAAGAACTAAAAGGCAGGAAATATCTTTAGCTCAACGGGTAGCAGAAAAGAAATCTGGAACACAGCAAACAGGAGCAGACAGGATCAGCAGCTGAAGAAAAGCTTTTGTCGGAGGTGAAGAAACCCATGCATGCAGCAGACACACAGTATAAAAGACCTTACCCCCAAAAAGAAAGGGGATGGCATTCCCATCTACCCTGGAGGCCTGCGTTTTTAGGTCTCTGAAGAGTTTTCCTCCTCTGACTTAAGGTCGATCAGTTTGAAGAAAGATAGGATGGCCGGTTGACCCACAACTGTTTTGTGACATGTCCTGATTGGACTCGAATCTGTGGAGCCAGTCCATCAGCAGGAGCAAAGGCTCACAAAGCTACCAGGCTCTTGTCTCTGGTCAGGAGGAGAGAAAGAAGCCAGACATCTTGGGATATCTTAGAAATTCACCATATTTGTTACCTAGTTACGGCCCCTCTCCCTACCAGGGAATGTGCCTGGTTCCTCAAGATGATGCTCATGACTGAAAACCCTGGTGCTCATTAGTCGACTGCCAACCAAGAGGGCAGCTTCTCCCTCCTGTGCCACAGGCATCTGTCTGTGGCTGCCTTGTGCATCTGAAGTTCTCGTGAGAACATGGCAGTGGGCGTGTGGTATTCCCGGGGTGTGTCTCGAGTTCTATGTCTGTGCGTCTCGAGTTCTATGTGAAACCTTGTGACCAGAGTTGCCACGTGCTCGTCCAAGCCCGCACACTGGAACTTTTGATGGGTAGCCTCTGCCAGTCCTCACACCTCATTTGCCCCCTTGCAGGTTCGATTGTATACATCATCTTGTTGGATCTTTAGTTCAGTTACTTTTCTAGGAAATGATTGGATGGTGACTATCAGATTCTAAAGTTCTGTTAGTTGGGCCCAGGGAGCCAGGAGAAGCTACCAAGGACAAGGTGGAGCTTCGGATCTGAGACCAGGCAGGCACCTCAAATCAGGAAAGCGTCAGGAGGCCCTCCTTAGTAAACTCACACCTTGAGCTGGGCTGAGTTTGGAAGTGAATGCAGCCCGGTCACCTAGAGGTCCCTGTAAGAGGCTGGGCAGGTAAAGAGAAACTGGAGACCCTTAACATATCTATAACAATTTCCCGTGGCTTCCACCGTAATCCAGTTCATAGGTGAGTAAATGAGCTTTAAGGAGTCCTCCGGAGGAAAACATCTCTGGCAAGAAAAAAAAATCCCTGAGTGGACCAAGATTTCCAAGGGAGAGAACAAGCAAGATGGAAGAATTGGAGCCACCACTTGCTACGGCATTTCATTTGGTCTTCTGTTCCCTGTCTGGTGTTATGGAGGGGAGAGCCCGTGAGACAAGGCCTGACACTGTGGAGGTAGCCTTGACAAAAGGAGCTGACACAGATTCTGTAGGTAGGGAAAATTCATGTAAATGAGATTCACGGTTCTCTGCATTGCAGATTCCCATTTTTGCTCAGGTGTCTCATTAAAAAGCAAGGACTGTAATTTGTGCCCTTTCCTCTCTCATAGAAAGAAAAATGTGTCTAATGAACAATGAAATGCTGATGACAAGCTGTCAGATGTGTAGTAAAGAATGTTCATAAGTAAGCTATGTCATTTTGCTGCTTTACTTTGTTTTTTTTTTCTCGAGAAAATCATGAAGAAACATTCATAAAACTCTTCACAATAATGCTTGCCACCGGTATGGTAAGGTCCTTGACATAACCAAAGGCAGGTATTTCTCACAAAAAGAAAAACTATCTTCCTCAAATACCAATGCAATTAGTATTCAAATTCCTGGCTCCAATTGTCTCCATTATCTGAACATTGTCACTGTCGGAATTATGCCAATCATGTCTCAAACCATCAAAACATTATTGATCATGGGCCTGAGAAGATGGCTTAATGGGAGAAAGCATTTGCTGCACACCTGGACCTGAGTTCAAATCCCCAAAACCACATAAGAAGCTAGAAGCAATAGAATGTATCTGAAACCCTTGTATTCACATGGCAGTCTGGGAGGTACAGACAGGAGGATCGCACAGGATAATCAGCCAATTTCCCTTCCATAAACAGCACAGTGGCAGAAATAATGAGAATCCCTGCCTCAAAACAAGGTGGAAGCGATTTCCAGAAGTTGCCCTATGACCTCCGTATACATGCTATAGCACATGTCCACATTTACATGTCATATTTTTAAATTATTGGTCAAAGAATTGTAATTTATAACTACAGACCATTTTATGATATCAACTCTTCAGACAGAAACAGAAGTGGAAAGAGAGAAAGGGAAGGAGAGGGGGAGGAAAAAGGAGGGGGAGAAGAAAAATGCTCACAGAAAGTTCAGTCATGACTTTAGCCTTGACTGCCTTTCTTATTATCCACATTACCGCCACAAGAAATTTGTTTGTTTGGTTTTTTTTTGGGGGGGCTGTGTTTTTGTTTTTTGCTTTTTTGTTTTTTGAGACAGTCTCTCTACACAGTCCTGGCTGTCCAGCAACTCACTATGCAAACCAGGAAGCCCTCAAACTCAGAGATCTTATCTCTGGGGGGGGGAAGCTCTGGAGTATTGGGATCAAAGGTGTGAACCACACAGCTGGCTTTTGCGCCAACATTTTGTCTTTATAAATATAATTGATCACGTTCTTCTTTTCTATTTTATTCCAGGGAATGTTTGGTTCTGACCATATCTTTTCTTCACTTGAGAAAGATTTATTCTCTGAAGAAAGAGAGAAGACACATTGACAAGCTTTCTAAGTGAGATATCATCAGTGACAGCCCACTGGGCTTACCATTTCCTGTTTTGCAAGTGTGATGTTTCCAGTCTAGCTGAAAGCAAGGACTGAATCAGAAGTGGGCTTCCAGCATGGTAAGGGCATACTTGCTGCGGATGCTCTTGGTTTCCACCTCTCTTGGTAAGAAGGCAAACACAATTGTTTTTACTAGTATTAATTAGGAATGGGAAGTAGAAGGATTAATAGTTTCATTGGGTCAAGCTTCCCCGGAAGCATAAGGCTGGTGTCTGCTACCTGGCACTGGAAACGCTGAGGAAGGCAGACAAGGATGGGAACCAGGTTGAGAGTCTGTTTCTCTCGCTGACAGATACCACAGTGGAGTCGTTTTCCTCTTCTTTTCCACAGGAGCCAGCATGGCCCAGACAGTCACTCAGCTTCAGCAGGAAAAGTCCGTGCAGGAGGCAGAGTCGGCAACCCTGGAGTGCACCTACGACACAAGTGATACTAATTATAACTTGTTCTGGTATAGACAGCAAAGAGGGCAGATGACTCTCGTTATTCGCCAAGAAGCTTATAAGCAGCAGAATGCAACGGAAAACCACTTCTCCGTGAATTTCCAGAAAGCAGCGAAGTCCTTCAGCCTGGAGATCTCAGACTCGCAGCTGGAGGATGCTGCAATGTATTTCTGTGCACTCATGGAGAGGGGCACAGTGACACAGGCAACAGAGAGGGGCTAACAGAAACCTCAGATCTCAGCAGTCTGTAAAAAAAAAATAGCAGGAAGTGACTGGGGTACTAGTAGCATACAGAGGAAGACTTGCGTTTCTTTGGAGGAAAAAGTATTCATAAGCAACTGTAGGAAACACAGACGTGATTCTATAAACTGTAGTTCTCAAAACAATAATGAAACATGGGGGTGAACAATGCTTTGTAGACCTGCAAAGTGTTTTCCATGCATTATTTCCTTGACTGTCAAAACTCATGTGTTGCATAGGATAAGAGAGGCATTTTCAATGTCACTGTGATCCAGCAGAACCCAAAGCTTAACCCAAAGCTATTCTTCAAGAATTTTTCCAAGCCTTTCAATTTTTTAATTATTCTAACAACTACCTGTGCTCATTACTTTTCTGTTGTTGTGATAAAACACCATGACTAAGGCAAGTTATAGAAAAAAAGGGTTATTTGAGCTTATGGCTCCAGAGGGCAGGTGACAGGCGTGGCAGCTGGAACTGGAAGCTGGGACCCGAAAGTTCACATCTCACCCATGAGCAGGAACAGACAAACTGGAAGCAGGGTGGGGCCTCAAGCTCTCAAAACCCGCTCCTGCTGGCACACTTCCTCCAGCAAGACCACATCTCCCGAGTCTCCTCAAACAGTGTCACCATCTGGGGACCAAGTGTTCAAAACCCTGAGACCAGGGGGACATTCCTCAATCATGCCACTACACTGCCAATCTTATGTTGGTATCCCACAATCACATCAAAGTCATTCATATATGTGTATGTAAGACTCACTTTTTACTTGCCCTACAGAACCTAATTTTCTACACTGTTTTTCTTTCTCAACCTTGCTCACTGTTCTGGCATATTGTAAATATTTTGGGTTTGTTTGCTTGTTTGGCAGTGTTAAGGATTGAATCCAGAACCTCCTCTACACTAAGTGCTCAACCACTGAGGTACATCCCCAGCCCTAAAAGTTCCCATCTTCTACTGTCCAGCATAAGCTATCTGATTTTTCATGCATGTTACTTCTTTCTACTTGTAAAATAGTTGACAAATCTCTATCATGTCTACCTCATTGTTTAAAGATTGATCTATCTGATTGATCTATTTTTATGACTTGGACTCCTCCTCTGTTTGGCAAAATACTAAAGTAATTGTAATGAGGCAAACTGGAGAAGCCATTTGGAAAATCAGATCTAAAAGTTGGGGCCAAGCAGCTGTCTGGCCACAGTAACCACCCTTATTTATACCCTAAGGAATAACACATTTCTGGACCATGAAGGGTCCCCACCTTATATAGGCTAAGGAAAAAGTTTTATAATGGAAATATGCATATATTTCTTTTCATATCCGTAATCCTCAAATAATACTTGTTTTTCACTACTTAGCACCCCAGTGCAGCGTTTTATTGTCTCTACTCACGTTAGAGAGTGCAGGAAAGAATAGCACACATCCAATGGGTGTGCTCTGAACTTTAGGTTTGGAATCATATTTAGAATTTACAGTGTTTGGGAGTCCAGGGCCAAATGCTGAAACATAATTCAGACTGACGAATCATTTAACAACACCCATCCACTCCTTCACTCACTTCAAGTCCTAGAACACCCGGCTCAAGGAGCCTTTTCTCTACATGCAGGATCTTTTGAAATGACAAACACGGGCTAAGCCCTAAATTAGTGAAAGCATTATCCTCACAAGGCAGAAACCTTCAAGACCACAAAATTATATTCTTTCCTATATCCCCCATGTCCATCGGTCATCAAGGTTCACAAACTCAGCAAGATATCATAGATCTCATCAATGCTTCCTTCTCCTTTCCATCCTTGTTTCCAGTGTCTGCGTACAGCTCTTCTCGCTTGAAATGATACATAGACATTTACCTAATCTTGGTCCTCTATTTTCCCCCTTCAAATGTTGATTCATGTCGCCAATAGAATGATCTTGAGTATTTCCCCTTTAATAAAGACCACTTTCCACAAAAGAACCTGTGATTATTGAAGAATGTTAAGTTCCACTAAAGCAGAAGGAGTCATTTGGGTTCACCACTAGGCCTTGCAAGACAAACGACCAAGAGTTATCAGCTGATGAATTAATTAGTTCCCTACTTATCAGCTCAACCTCATTAATTACCATACTCCCATCCCTCTCCAACTGTAATCTCAGCATGAGTTTATCTCCTGAATTTATGCTTTTGTTGGAATTCGTCCTTATTATTAAACACTCATCCCACAACCAACTATTGTTCAAGATGTTTCAAAACAAACAGTGTAGATGTTCATCAGTGGATGATGCATAATGAAAATATTCTATGTACACAATAGAATGTTATTTGTCTGTTAAAAATGGAATTATGAAATTTTCTAAAAGAATCATTCTGAGTAAGGTAACACAGACCCAAGAAGACAAATGTTTTATGTTTTCTATTATATGTGGATGTTAGATTTTAAACATTCAATATGCATGCTGTGATACATATAACCACAGGGGTTAGGTATTCAATAAGGGACAAAAGTAGGAGAGGGTCTTCTTTCTATGGAGAAACAGTCAGAAGGCTAGAGTAGGAAGATTGAATGGAGAGGAAAGAAGAAAGAAGTAAGGAAAAGGATACAGGGAGAGATAAATAACAATAAGAGCCATTTGGGAGGTCATATGGAAATGTACCACTGTAGATGCTTCCTAAAATACATGCATATATGAAAAATCATTCCATAACTAGACATCTTTTGGCACCAAATGGAACCTCCAGTGCCAGGCAGGAATGAGTTACATCTAGTTGAGTCATTGTCCAAAGGTTCTCCACATCTCAGACTATTGCCAAGGCTATTGTCTGATCTCCACAAACTGATAGTAAGTAAGTCCCTCTTGCTGAAGACAACACTTGCATATCACATTGAACAAGGAGAAGTTAAGCTGTTGCCTACCCACAGCCTTCATCCGTACTGAATGGTGTTTGTCGTATTAGAAAGTACTCCACATTCTACCAGAGAAGAAAGGTCAATCCAGCTACAAACCTGGTTATTTGCCTGCATGACATATTGGAGCAATAGTGGCACAAACACTGTAGAAGTAACCAACCATTCTTTGATTAGATTTAAGGCCCACTCCACAAGAGGGAAACCATGCCTAACACTGCTTGGGTGTCCAAGAATCTGAGACTGACCATTTTTAGGTGTTTTAAATCATGCCCTTCTACTCCAATAATTGTCTAATAGTTTTTGAAGATCAGTAAGAGTCTGATATGGGCTGGAGAGATGGCTCAGCTATTAAAGGATAGGTTCACAACCAAAAATATAAGAGTCTGGTAATGATCTCTCCTGATATGTACTTTTGTGGTCTAATTTTCTGTAGATCTATTTTATAACCCAAGTATTTAATATAATCTCCTCTTTGTATTTTTTTCAGGGGCAATCTGTAATCCCCAGCAAGGTAAAATTTCCTTTCCTGCCTTAAACATCTTTTCCAATGTTCCTTTTTCCAAATCAGCCAGCGGTATGTCATCCAATAATGGTAAACTATGGATTGCAGAAATTGTTTGGGAATTATTTCTAAAGGTTTTTGCACAAAATACTGGCATAAAGTAGGGCTATTTAACATTCCCTGTGGCAAAACCTTCAATTGAAATCTCCTAACTGGTTGAGAATTGTTATAGGTGGGCACTGTGAAGGCAAATTTTTCCCTATCTTTTTCTTGTAAAGGTATACGAAGAAGCAGTCTTTTAGATCTATTACTTTAATTTGCCTACCTTTAGGTATCAGAGAAGATAACGACATCCCAGGCTGTAGAGAGTCCATAGGTTGAATTACTTTATTGATGGCTCTCAGATCAGTAAGCATCCTCCATTTACCAGGCTTCTTTTTGATAACAAATGCAAGAGGATTCCATGTACTAGAAGGTTCTTCAATATGTCCAGCATTTAGCTGTTCCTGGACCAGCTTTTCTAAAGTCTCTAGTTTCTCAGAGGTTATAGGCCATTGTCCTACCTACACAGGTTCATCTGTTAGCCATTTTAAGGGTAGTGCTTTTGGTTCCTCTGTAGGTTTGGCACTAATATCCTGTTTCTGTACCACCTGTATGTTTAGCATCTGCTTTCTGTAGTGCCTTATAATATTCTTTTCTACCACCAAGAGCTTGTCTATGATTCATATCTGATAGAGAAGGAATGTTAATCTGGGTATTCCATTGTTGCAATAGATCACAACCACCAAGATTTATAGCTATGTCTGCAATATATGGCTTCAGTCTTCCTCTTTGTCCTTCTGGCCCTATAGAGTCAACCCATCTCGTTCTTTGTATTACTTGAAATAGTGTTCCAGTCCCTAAAAATTGAATATTTACTTTTTGTAGGGGCCATTTTGGAGGCCAAGATTCTTTAGTTATAATAGTAACATCCTGTCCTAAGTCCACTAAGCCTACCGACATAATGTTATTTATCTGAACTCTTAAATTTGGTCTTTTATCATTTATAGAAGTCTGCCAAAATATACATTTTTTTGTTTTCTCCAGTTACGATTGGAGCTAGTCTATCATCCAGAGAGCTATTATTCTTTACAACAGGCAGTGAATCTTCTAATTGTCCTGGGAGAGATTGTCCTCCATAGTGACTGGGAATGACCAGACCATTTTTAACATGGGGACCTTTGAGAGGCCCCTCGAAGAGCTTCCTGATTGTAAAGTGTTACCTTGTTTGTCTGTGATCAACATACATTCATTGGTTCAGTGTCGGCCTTTGCCATATCTCCTACATAACCCAGAAGTCTGAGGCCTTCTGTTTGAATCATTCCTAAGAGGAGCATTATTTCTAGGAATGCTTTGCCTACTATTCCTACCTAAATGTCGTATTCTACCACAGTTAAAACATCTGGTATTTCGATGTCTTTTTAAACTTCTGGAGATTGTTTCTCATACCCAAGTTTATATCTCCTCATGGTTAAGGCACTTGGCATCTTGGTGCCTCTTTAAACATTTAGAAACTGCCTCTCCTACCCAAGCTTCTGTATCTTGATCTTTATACTCAA